TGTAGAGTGGGAATATATGAGTGGGAAATAAGTGGGAAAATAAGAATTTATATTTGTATATATATGCAGAAAAAGTACCCTGGAAGTATCCATAAGGTATTAATAACTGGTTGCCCAATTTTTGCAGGGTTTTTTGAAGGTGAAGGTCAGTGGTAGGAGGGAGACTTCTGTGCTGTGTATACTGTTTTATATGTGAACCATGTGAATATATCTATTCAAAGTATTTTTTTTAAAGTTCATTACATGAATGAATGTTTATTGTGTATATCACTTGTTTTCCTTGCAGGATTGTTTCCCTTTGCTATTGAACTTTTATAGCATTGTTTTCATAATTTATTCTCTTAGGTAGTTTTCTTGGGATAGCACAGGACTTATACTTGATATCTTCCCAGTCATGGTCTGTTAGGATAGCATTTAGGTTTGAACCAGACTTCATAATTTATTCTCTTAGGTAGTTTTCTTGGGATAGCACAGGACTTATACTTGATATCTTTCCAGTCATGGTCTGTTAGGATAGCATTTAGGTTTGAACCAGACCTAGCTAGATTTGTAACCAAGGTGCTTTGCATAAAATAGAAATGAGATTCTACTATTATATCAGTTATCTTATGCCATTGTTGTTGCAAGATATTGCATCAGTCTGTATAAAAGATCACGTGTGTAGTGGTAATCATTTTTACCTGTGTTCATTGATACCTCAAAAGGGAAGATTCATCTGTTTTTGAAAATGTTTCTTATTTATCAATTGTGGAAAAGGTTGGTAACCTAAGAATAGAGGTTAGTATATCATATTTAACTGGTATTTTCATATGAAAATAACATACAATGAGAAAGATTCATTTGCTTAAAAACAGTCAGTTGCTAGACATTGCCTAACATTTAAAAAAGTAAATTTTTATAGGTTAAACATTTTTATATGTGGATTGAAAAGATAATATTAATCTTTTAATGTATTGCATTCATCTTTTATCTCCTAATTAGTAAATTTGAGTACCAATTAATTTGAAGTAATGACAGAAGAAATGTAGTTATTAGCTCATAAGTGTCTTTAACTAGTAGTTTATAGAAGTGCTTTTCAGACATTACAAACAGCTATAGATTAGCTATCAAATGATTGTGAAGATTAATTACCAGCCTTTTAGCTGGGTAATTTAGAACAATATCTGGTAATTAATTGGGAATTATCAGTTTTAAAGTCACAAATATCTTAAGGAAAACACCATCAAAAAAGATAATAACAGTGACAATAGTTCAATTGCCATTTAGCTTTTAGACTATTTGAGTAAATTAAAGGAAAATTTAAAAACCAACCAATTTCAGAATTTTAAAAGCATTTCAAATTCTGAAGGTAAATGCTTTTCAACCTATGATTTTATACTTAATCCGACTATTTCTCAAGTACGAAGGTAGAATAAATACACTTTCAGATACTCTATGTCTCAAAAATTTAGTTCACATGCACCCTTTCTCAAGAAGGCACTGGAAAATGGAGGATTGTAGAGAAAGAGAGAATAAAACAGAAAGTAAAATATATGATATCAGAAATAGGAGAGACAGCACAGAAGAGATGAAGGAGATCTCCAGGACTATAGTGAAGGGAGATCCCAGGATGGCAGTTACATAGTAGACACAGATGATAGTCCGTCTAGATTGGAGCAGTTTGACTCAACAGAGAGATATGGGGAAACGGAGCTATTAATGCCAGCTGCCTTTATAACTTTTTTTTTTTAAACCTGAGGACAAATTACCGACATTATGAGGTGAGACCATATTCATATGAGTACTTGGGTTGTCTTGATCATGTGCTGATTAAGTTCCTGCTCTCCCTGAGTCACCTGAGGATTCTCACTTCAGCCCTCAAAAAATGTGCTCTGCTTTGACCCACTTCTGAGGGTAGAGATTAACACTGGTGAGCTTAGAACTGAAAAATATAGTCTGCTTCCCAGAGTTTATTCATGCCAGATACCCACTATTTGGCTCACACTACTTCTGATAGATGCGCCAGTTCTCCTGCCCTCTGTATCCGTATTGCCCAGTATTTCCTAAGTGACTTTGCTTGTAGACTTCCCACAGATAGCTTTATATATCTCTGACAGAAGCTGAAGCTGCTCTGCCTTCTATACCTCTCAGAGAAGCTGAAGCTGTGCTGCAACTCACAGATTATATATCTTGTCTTCCTTTAGTTAGTTGTGGCAATGTTGCCCTTTCTTTTTACAGCTGGCTGGGTTTGTGCTAGACTTAGTTTTTCAAACCAAACGTAATAGGTATGTTTACTACATAGGTGGTAAAACTATCAAAAATCAAGTAGTAAACAATGAAGTGTTAGGATAGTGATTTTCTTCTGATGGAAATGGGGTGGTTAGAGAGTACGGGTCGGGAGGGCCATGGAGAATTGTGAGGCACTGGTAATATTCTAGTTCTTGTCATGGGTGGTGGGTTCATGGGATTAAGAAAGAAGTATTGTTCTTTACTGTGTACATATAAATTGTATATACTTACGTTTATTGATATGTTTTATAATAAAAATTCTAAAAACTTTAAATTTTGAGAAAATCAAAGCAAATGATTATTGAAAACTAAACTTATTCTATAATGCAGGCTGTCCTAGAAATATATCACCACGAGGTTGGCAGTACATAACTTGCTTTCCTTAGATAATGATAAATGTTTTATCACTGCAGAAATGATTTCTCTAAAGTTGGTTTTCCTAGAAATATATCACCACGAGGTTGGCAGTACATAACTTGCTTTCCTTAGATAATGATAACTGTTTTATCACTGCAGAAATGATTTCTCTAAAGTTGGTTCTCCAAACAATAGACTAAGTGATCCTTTTAAATTGGAAATCAGATTGTGTCTTCCCTCGACTCATAATTCTCAAATGGCTGCCTCAGAATAGAATTCAAAGTCTTTAACACAGTCTATAATGCTGTGCAGTCATAACCTAGCCAGTGGCTACATCTCTGACCTCATCTTCTTCAGTTCGTAGTCCACTGGTTTACTGGTATTCCTTAAACTAACCAAGCTTATTTTCACTCCAGGGCCTTTGCAGTTATCTGTCCTTCTCTCAGCCTGGACTGTTCCTTTTCACATACTTGCCCTCTCTTTTATTCTTTTCTTTGTTCAAATATAACAGAGAGGCCTTCCCCAGTTACTCTAGTAAAATACACCCTCCCACATAGACTTCCACTGCAGTTATTCTCTATGTCCTTTTTTCTTTCCCTAAAAAGCACTTATTACTACTTGACAGTATCTTACATATTTGTGTATTTGTTTTCTGTCTCCTCCATTAGAATATAAGCTCCATGAAGGCAGGAACGTTGTGTTGTTCATCACCCAGTGCCTGGCATGCTGTAGATGTTCAGTAAATTTTTGTTGAATGAATATGAGGAATTGGTCAATTAAAATAAAGAACCCATTTCAAAGAAAATATTAACATTATGGGTATAAAAGAAATTGATATTTTAAAGATATTATTGTATCATTTTACTTTTTAGTGTGGAATATATACATTTCTTTTTGAAATATTAAAAAAGTTTCAGATATTTATAACTGAAATATTTACAATTATGAAAAATACTTACAAATATTTACAATTATGAAAATGTTTATTCCCTAAACATTTTTATTTTTAACTTATATCACATTATGGCATGAATTTTCTGTATATGTCATGAGGAAAGGCTAGTTAATATCTATAGAAGGAAATTTTTGTATTGTGTATTATTTATACTTTTACCTTTTACCCATGTGTGCTTCAAAAACACCTGTGGATTTTTGGGCATGAAAAATTAGCATTTGTTCTTTTGTTATCATCTCTTACTATCCTCCCATACTAGGCTCAATAAAGATTTATTGAATGAATGTTCAATTTACTATATGAGTTATAATGATGTAAATCACAGGAACAAACAATTTTAGCATTAGTGAGTTATAATTATGCTTATACTTTCTGCATATGTTGTACTTTTCCTTGCATTTTTGGGGGGTGGGTGGATGGTGAGAGAGCATTCTCATGGAAACAGCAGTGGAAATCACATAATGGTGGCTGTAAAATAATAGTCCTTGAAGAGATTTTAAAAATTATAAATCCTGTGACATTAACAGTCACAGAACTCTCTTTTTTATTTTTTCTCTATTTACTTTTTTTCACTTACTTGGGTAGAAGGCAAAGCATGATATGGGAAGTTCACAGTGCCAGATACACAGTAGTCATTCACATATAGGTGGTATGAATAAATGCATGATGGATTAATTGGAACTTTCAGGCAATTTGTGACCAGTTCAAACTTTGAAAATTATGGTGTACTTTTGGGGAAGAGTTGGAATTTTTTCCATTGCTAAAAGAATTTGTATTCTTTAGCTTGTTAAGAAAAAGGTTTTGTAGCTTAATAGATACATGGAAAGCTGCTATACTTGTGAGCATAATTAATTGATATTTTTAATCTCTCTTGAGGACAAATGGGGGAAAATGGGTTTTCATTGCACCTGAAACAATGTAATATCCAGTGTCTCACTGATACATACTTAGGTCCTGGTACAAGTTATAGAGAACCAATAGAATATTTTTTTCCTATGCATCTTTAAGAAAGGCTAAATAATTATGTTCTTGTAGTTGCATGCCATGCTACCTGTTAGCATTAAAATTGGCTGTAGTTTTTCTTGAACATTTATATTTTTGTGACAGTTACATTTATCATTTTACCAAAATAAGGATATTATAGGAAAATTGTTTTGTTGCATTATAAAAACTACATATTTGAAAAATTGTTGAAAATACTTTAATTTTATATTCTGTATTGTGTTCATTTCCATGCGTATTTTAACTGATTGTATATTTTTTCATCCAGGTCACCTTTGAAATACACAAAGAAAACCTTGCCAATATATTTAGGGAACAGCAGGGAAAAGTTGATGAAGACATAGGGCTATTTAATTTTATATTCTGTATTGTGTTCATTTCCATGCGTATTTTAACTGATTGTATATTTTTCATCCAGGTCACCTTTGAAATACACAAAGAAAACCTTGCCAATATATTTAGGGAACAGCAGGGAAAAGTTGATGAAGACATAGGGCTGTGTTCTTCAAGTCCAGTTCAAGCAGTCTCTGGCATTAGCAGGGATGTTAATGTTTCAGAAGGGTCTCAGCAGTCAGATATGAAGGATTCTCCTGTTTGTCCTCATTTCACCAGAAATAGTGATGAAAACTCAAGTATTGAGAAGGCAAGTTCAGTAGAATCTGCGTCCAATATTGAACTGCAAACTCAAAATATATCTAATGAAGGAAGGAACACTGAGCAAGAAAATCAGGAGTTACTGGATGAAGTCACTTTGGAAGAAACAGTGACAATTGAGACAATGAATGCAGGTGATTTGGAAGTGTCTTCTGACATAATAGAAACTGTGACTATTTCCTCTACTTCTTTTAAAACAACTGGCAAAGATACAGTGACCATCAGTGAAGTAGCTGCTTCCGTAAGTTCTCCTTCAGAGGAGGATGCTTCAGAGATGCCAGAGTTGTTGGACAAGTCTATAGTTGAGGAAGAGGAAGATGATGATTATGTGGAGCTGAAGGTAGAAAGTGGTCCGACTGAGGAAGCCAGTCTACCCGTAGAGCTCCAAGATGATAATTTGTCTCCAACTGCTTCTGAAGCCAGTGAAAGACTGGACATGTTTAATAGTAATCACAAATTAATATTTGAAGAGGAAGAACCTGTCATTAAAAAGCAAACTGATACTGAAACTCAAGATTCTAAAGATTCTGCAATACTGACTATGACAGCATCAGAGACTTCAGCTCCCTCACCAGAAATTACTGTTTCCCAAACAACTGTACAGTCAGACACTGGTCAGATGCTGGAAGAAGGGAAGAAAATAACTAGTCTTACTAGAGAAACCAAATTAATTAGTGATTCTCATGGTAATATCTTCGAGGCTCCTGCTACTTCTGAGCAAAAGATTGCCAAGTTGGATGTTTCCAGTGTTGCCACAGATACTGAGAGACTGGAATTGAAGGCCAGTACAAACATGGAAGCACCTCAACCTCATCGACATGTGCTTGAGGTGATTATATACATATTGTCTTCTTGAAGTGTGTTTGCACTAGGTTAAAATAGAGCAAATGTTGGGCCGGCCCGTGGCTCACTTGGGAGAGTGTGGTGCTGACAACACCAAGTCAAGGGTTAAGATCCCTTTACTGGTCATCTTTAAAGAAAAAAAAAAGAGCAAATGTATATATTTACATTTTATTTTATTTGGATTGGGTCTGTATCCTATTTGCAATCACTTAAGTGCAATGAATGTAAAGCTTATATTTCAGATTGTTAGCACAGCGTTTCGCAGTTAGTGTGAGTTCATTAAATGACAGCTTTTATTATTTTTAACACAGCATCACCAAGTTACCATTTTCAAGTTTCAAGATTGGCATCATTTTAATTTATAAAGCAGTTATTGGAAACACTTGCATTTTACCCTTTATTTAATGAACTTAGTCATAGCACATTAGTTTTCCGACAAAATCTAAGTCTGCCTACCTGCCAGTGTATAATTTTAGTTACAAAGTTTGTACTTTAAAATTGTACCATGAGCTCTGTAAGAGAGAGGAGCCTTTGTAAGTTCTAGAGGCACAGCTTTCTCCTCTACCAGTATTTCACAGTGACCATGAGACAGTGGTTGGTTGCATCTTGTCACTTTCCACTTTATTTCATTCTTATCCTCTCTCCCTACTTTCCTTTTTTTTGTTGGTTTGTTCTTCATTTTGTTGTCTTTGTTTTTGTTTGATCTTCATTCTAACCAATTTATAATGTGGATAGTGACTTGATTATAAATACTGACTTTTTTAATACTAATATTCAAAACTTAGAACTTATTCCTTTGTAAAATGATACATAGTGGTAATAATACTTACATGGTTCCAAGTTGAATTGTGGTAGTTTAGCATTTTCATTAACTTTGCTTTAAATACTAATGTTATTACTTATTGATAATTTTTATTTCTCTAATTTGGTTCTTATAGTGTCTTAATATGTGAGTATTTGTTAGATGGATTGCATAGAAACTACTAAATTATTTACTAATGCCTTTCTTTGAAGTTGAACTTATTTTATTACTTTTTAAATTTTCTGTATTAGATGTCAAGGCAACAGGAGCAGCCAGGGCAAGAAATAGCACCAGACGCAGCTAATGGACAAAGGAGGGATTCCAGATCTACTATGTTTCGTATTCCTGAGTTCAAGTGGTCTCAAATGCATCAACGTTTGCTCACCGATCTATTATTTTCAATAGAAACAGACATACAGATGTGGAGAAGGTTTGTCCATATGTTTATGATAGAAGATGTATATAAACATAAGTCTTGGTTTTGTATAAACATTTTGTAATTAATTTCAGACATTTAGTTTAAAAAGCTGAATGTAAATTATTCTATAGTAGGGTTTTAGTGAATTAACTTTTCTTCTGCATTATAAGAATGGAATCCTGTATGGATCACAAAAGCTTGAAAACCAGAGATTTTTCTTTTAAAAAATTTGCTGAAGATTTCCTGTAGTGTATTTTATAGCATTGAATTTACCAGAAGGTAGGTCTCCCAAGTGGAACTACTAAAAAGTAATTGGAATTTAAGTATAACATTATCCATGTCTCCAATGTACTTTTAGCATAATCTGTATATTTCAGATTATCTTCCATTGTGTAATTTATGATTTTAAAAGTGCCTAACTTATTTTTATTGGTATAGTGACCCTTACTTTGTTTAAAAGTGTTTTATGGTATTACCTAAGAAAATTTTAGTAGAAAGTTCATTTTCAGTAGCACATTTAGCACCATTTACTGCCCTACTTTTTCCACGTCTTCTCAGTTTTGTTCCCATTTAAGGATAAATTCGTTCAACTTTTTATATCAAGTGTAAGATGAATAGTATTTATGTTTCAGCACCGAAGGAGGGCATGGATAGTAACTGCTGATGTGGAATGGTCTACTTCCTCTGAGGAAATATACACCCCCCAAAATGCCTGCTGTGTCATTGTCTTTCCTCAGTTTTCAAGATGAAGCAAAAGCACCTTCTTGTCTTTCCTCCCTTCAAGTAGGCAAACTGTGATTTCCTTTCTTTAGCTTTATCAGTAAACATCATTTATCTTTGGACAGCCATTCAACAAAGACAGTAATGGACTTCGTGAATAGCAGTGATAATGTCATCTTTGTACACAATACAATTCATCTCATCTCTCAAGTGATGGACAATATGGTCATGGCTTGTGGGGGTATACTGCCATTGCTTTCAGCTGCTACATCGGCTACAGTAAGGACTTAACTACTATATAAAACTGATGTAAAAACATGAGTGTTATGCATCCTTATTGATTAGAACAGGAATGTGGTGGTTATTAGACATCATAGCAAAAAAAATCAAAAGCAACAGGATCTTTTACACTTACCTAAAAGGACCTTAGAATCTGTTCCGGGAATGAAAGCACTAAAAAGAATGTTGATTTCTGAGGGATGACTTAGCTAGTGAAGAATATGATTGACACTGTTTCACTTGTCTGTTTTCATTGCCCTTTTTTTTAGATGAAATGATAAGCAAATCACTCTATTGTACTAGATTTCTGAAAACCTGACTTTTAATAACATTTAGCTATTTGGGGGAATATATCTGGTAAAATTAGATTTTTATCAGAATATAGATGTAAATGTCGAACTTTATTTCTTACAGCATGAGCTGGAAAATATTGAACCTACTCAAGGCCTTTCAATAGAGGCCTCTGTGACATTTTTGCAGAGGCTAATTAGCCTTGTGGATGTGCTTATATTTGCAAGTTCTCTTGGCTTTACTGAAATTGAAGCTGAAAAAAATATGTCGTCTGGAGGAATTTTGCGACAGTGTCTCCGACTGGGTGAGCTGTCAATACTCATGACTTAGGAATTTACTTTAAAAGTTTTCAGTAATCCAGAAATTAAGTTGAAAATTATTTTTCTTCTGTTGGTGAGAAAATGTGTATTAGCCAGTTTGTCATATGGCTACTTTTTAATGTACTGTATGCATAGTAGGAGTTGCCAAGTTGGATAGAGGGAGAAGGACATATTTAGAAGAATCTACTAAAGTTAATCGGGTCAGCATTACCCCTTCTCCCCCAACCTCTTTTTGCTCTAAAGTAGTGCTTCTCAATTTTTAAGTTGATTCATAAACATGAATCACCTGAGGATCTTGTTAAAATGCAGATTAGATTAAATGGGTCTGGCCTATAATTTTCAGACAACTCTTAGGTGATGGTGATGCTGCTTTTCTTACCAAAACACTGGAATTACAAAGTTCTAAACTAGCATCATTCAAGTATGGCCTTTATTTAAATGAGCTGTGATCATTTGTTGAAGCAGTTTTTAAAATCATTAAATCTCCTTTCTCCTGGAAGCAGTTTCCCTAGGTAAAAGTAAAAATATGTTAAATGAGTTTTTAGTGTTAACTTGACTACCTTAGGCAAAGCAAAAATATTTTTTTCTTTGTACGAGGTTTCTTGTATCTAATTGTAAATACTAAGACTCTGTTGAATGATTTGCTCATTAAATGGAGAGGAGATGATGGGGAGACGGCTCCCAAGAAATGGAAGCAAACCGTTAGGAACTGTGGCCATATGAAGACAGATCAGATCAGTAAACAAAACATCAGAAGTGGAACATCTAATTAGTTAATGAATTTCCCCTCCATATTTAGCAAGAATATCTATTACATAAACTAATATAAACCTGTACTTAGACTTTTTTGGTACAATTATTATTTTGACTCAAAGTGTTATTCAAAGTACTTTTGGACTTGGGATGCTCTAATGAACTTGGTGTTAAAATTTATAGAAAGTTGTTTTAAAATTTTAATTGTGAGAGGTTCAAATTAAACATAACAAATATAAAAGCTGTCATTTATTGATTGCTGTCATTTGTCATTGCTGATTTTCACAATGAGTCAGCAATCATTTTGTTCTTCCTATTCATAAGGAAACGAGATTAGAGAATTTAGTAATCTTATCTAAAATTTGAAAGTTGTAATCAGTGAGGTTGGAATTTGAATGTATTTTTGTCTAATGAGTACTCCTCTTTCTGTTAGAGTATACTTTTTTAAACTTTCTATTAGCAATATAATGAAATTATTTATACTTCCTTGCTGTTGCATATGCCATTTTTAAAACCTTCCCACTTTCCTAAAAGTACATTTTTAGAATTAAAAGTACAAGGCTACATACGCTGGCAATGCTCCACTTTACTCAAGAATCATTAGATTCAAAAGCTAGGGAAATACTCTATTTTCCTAATTTTTGTAGCTGTAGAAGAGAAGAGATAATTTAATCTACTCCAGCACCATCTGTTCTTATGTATGCAGAGGAGACTTGGAAAGTGACATGTCCAAGATCAACTTAATAGAGGATGGTACGCTAGGTAGACACTCCAATTGTTTTGATCCCTGGTCTCCTCATTCCTGTTGTTTCCCAGGATTGGGGGTTTTAAGGTAAGATGGCAACAATGAGAATAACCTGTATTATTGAGACTGATTGACACTAGGAAATCTGGTGTGTTTTTTTACTTTGTAATGCAGATCCAAATTCGATTTTATGCAATTTGTGACAAAAGTAGTACAGAAAGTTATTTTCCTGGGCCTGATACCAAACTTGACAAAGTTGTATTCCTATTCTTTTTCACTCCCTCTGTCCTTTCCTTCTGTTTTTCTAACTTTTGTTGCTTTCTTTTGATAGCTTTCTGAACACTTTCCTTTTTAAGTTCTTATGTCTGCTAATCAGTCATATGATAGACTGGTGGTACTTAAAGTTCCCACTTAAATTTGCTATTTTGTTCCTAATTTGCTCTCTTATCCTTGTTCAGTTTAAATACCTTGGGTGCTACAGATTTGGTTGGGAATTGAGAAGATTACATGGTATGATGCAATTCATAGTCAAGTATGTATAACCTAATTGGTCATTTAAAATTCAAAATTAATTTCTAAATAATCTGAGTAACTGCCTGATTGATGGGAGCTTTAAAGAGGTAATTTTGGACTGTATATTAACCAAACTCCCTTTCTATCCCCACCTTCAGTTTTAATGAACACAAAACAGCTAGAGAGGAAAAATAAGTTCTATTGGTGTACAGTTGAGCTAGACATCTATAATTAACTATAATTTACTGCATGTTATCAAACTAGAAGAGAGGGGACAAATATCTACATCACAAAGAAATGACTTAAGTCTTGCAATAATGAATATGCTGATTATTCTGATTTGATTATCATACATTATATACATGTATTGAAATATAACTCTGTACCCCACAGATATGTATAATCAATACGTTTCAGTAATTTAAAGAAAGCCAGTAAATGCTAGTCCCTATAAAGCTTCCTATAAATGCTGTACCCTCTATCAGTCTTTATTAGTATTATGCTCTAATGATACAATATAAGGAAAACAGGAAAGTTTCTAGTTCAACTATTTTACTTTAATGAAGGTAATAGAAGATTATCATCCTAGACTAGTTCATGGCAATGTGATTTGCTCTGTTTTCTTCCACTATTCTTTCAGTTATTTTCTTCCCTGTCTTTTTCTTAATAGAAGATTGCCCCAACTATCTTAGGTGAAATCTAAGAAACAGTAGCCTATTCTTTTTTTTTTTTTTTCCTTTTTGTCTTTTTTTCGTCACCTGCACCGGATCGCACCCCTCAGTGTTGCGCCCGTGCCGGACCGGGACCAGCAACGGGATCGCAACCCTCGGTGTTGCTCCCGCACCTCGCTCAGCCAGTGAGCGGTCGGTCTCTATGTGGGATCTGAACCCTCGGCGGGAGCGCCGCCACGCTTCCCAAGCGGCGCACTGTAGCAGTGCGCCACCGGGCCAGCCCCAGTAGCCTATTCTTAAGATTCCTGATCTGATTCCCTTTGAGCAGTCCCTAAAAGCATAGACGACTAGACTATACGGCCTCCTTAGATCTTAACTTGGCCATCCATAGTAGGGAAGGTAACAAAATCAGACAATAAATGCTAGGTGATAAAGTCTAGGGTTGTTTTAGGAATTTGATGAAGGTAATCTGTTTCAGGTAAAGTCTTATGTAAATTGTATTGTGTAGGTGATTTTGATCTGTTCCATAATTTTAAACATAATTTTCTTTTCTTTCCCAATCATCTCCTTAAAATAAACTACAGTGTGTGCAGTGGCTGTAAGGAATTGCTTAGAATGTCAACAGCATTCACAACTGAAAACTAGGGGAGATACTACAAAAGGCTTGAAAACAATACACAGTCTGATTCCCAGTGGGAAATCTGCAGCAAAGGTAAGCATACAGAATAATTTTAAGAAAGTATTTTCTTAATTTTACAATTAAGATCTTAATTAATTCAATTCAACATAAAGTTAAATGCACCTGACAGAGATCCTAAAGTAGTTATTTTAGCCTGTGGCCATAACATTCAAATATTTGTGTTTAAATATACAGTAAAGAGTTGCTTATACTTAATCTTGTCTGCTTTTACAAATGTTTACTTTTCTTTTCCTTCAAATATGTCAGTTTCTCCTGCATGACTCCCTTCTATGTCTCCCATCCCCCCCAAAAGGAAGAAAGTAAAGGAAAAAACTGGGAAAAGGAATGTTATAACCTTGCTTTTCTGGTTCTTGGAATAATGTGTTTATTTTTTAAAAAATATCTGTGTAATGTGTATGTATATATTTTTATCTTAAATAGAGTCCAGTGGACATTGTGACTGGTGGTATATCTCCAGTGAGAGATCTTGATAGACTCCTACAAGACATGGATATTAATCGGCTTAGGGCAGTTGTTTTCAGAGACATAGTAAGTTACAATATTTCTTTCATATGCTCTCTTAGTTGATACAAATTTTCTCCTAGGCCAAAGTATTGAGAGTAAAAACTCTTTGTGATATAAAATAGTCCAGTAGAGATAGGAAGGCCTAGAAACCAGTTCTCTTGAGAAGGATTTTAGAATCTTAGAATATTAGAAATGATTATCTGTATTAATGGAGCTAGTATATGAGAATAATGATACTAAAAAGAATAATGCATTATTATGTAGTAAGTACTGTAAATGTGTTACATGTATTCATTAAGTCCAACAACTTCTTGAGTTGTGTATTTTTTGTAATTCCCATTTTAAAGATGAGGTATATGAGGCACAGAGAGCCTAAGTAACTTGTCCAAACTAATGTTGATAGTAAATGATAGTCAGGATTCAGACCCAGACATGTTAACTCCAGAATTCATGTTCTGAATGTGATGAAATGTTCAACTTCTGAATGGCATATTATTTTACTGAATATTAGATTTTTTTTCCCTCAAAGGTGATAAAAAGTTACATGATGAAATGTTGCTCTCAGTGTGGTGGTTTTAATTTTTTAAAGATGAAAAACAATTTTGTTTTAGCTGATTTTCGTGTAGAAATTTTAAAGTCATTTAGGAAGTATAAAGATGATAGAGTAGAATAGTTGTTACTAGATACTCATAAAGGCATGGGAAGAGGGTGGTCACTGGATAAAAAAGCTGCTAGATAGGAAGAATAAGTTCTACTGTTCTATAGCATTATAGGGAGACTACAGTTAACAATTTATTGTATAATTTCAAATACGTAGTAGATAGGATTTTGAATATTCCCAACACAAAGAAATGATGAATACTTGAGGTGGTAGATATGCTAATTACCCTGATTTGATCATTGCACATTGTATACATGTACCCAGATGTCACAATGTATCCCATAAATATACACAATTATTACGTGTCAGTTAAGAAAAGTAAACTTAATAAAATGGAAAAAAAAAGTAAAGATGAGAATAAAAATCATTTGTAATCCCACTCACTAGCATTTGGAGTATTACAATTAGTAAATATTTATTAAATACTTACTGTGTATTGTATTGGATGCTCTAAATATATATCACATACATATTTGTTATAAAAAACATTACCTCTGTTTTTCTTTTTTTCCACCTTTTTCTCTGGTATTTTAGTCCTCTCTTGAATTCTTGACTAGGTTTATATATACACATAAAATTTGAAGTATTATCACTACTTAATTATTCAGCACTTACTGTGTATTAAGCACAGTACTAGATGTATTTTCTCATTTAATTCTCACAATAAATCCTAGGAGGAACATAGCAATATTAGGTTAAATAATGTGTTGAAGATCACACAATCAGTAAGAAGTAGAAGTGAGTTAAGGACCTATTGAATTTGATTCTCGAAATTTTCATCTTAACCACTAGGTTATGATGCCCCCCTAGGTCTTAATTCTTTAGTAGCTGCTATTATTCCTTTACTTACGAAACCGTGGACTTACTCTTTGGTTTTTTTTAGAACCCTCTGACTATGTTCCATTTTTTGGATCAAATGTTGCTGCTTCCTTCTCTCCCTGTTTTTTCACTGGGCAGATTCTGTCTATTGCCCCATAATTTTATATCTCCTAGAATGGTTTTTAGAAATCTATAATAGATGATGTTACACTTTGGCTTTCAAAATTTTCTAATAGCCTCCTATAGCACTTAAAAAGTGAAATCTGAACTTGAACTGGCTCTGTATGATTTGGCTTGGTCTTCATTTATTAACTGTTATGAGTTACTTATGCCTATCTAACTCCTTATATGGCCAATTAATATGTTCAATGTTTGCTAACTACCGTATGAAGTTTATAGTGTATGCCTGATTTCTGACCCCAAATAAAAAAAATATCCCATAGATCCTTATATGAGGGTATTTCAAAAACTTGTGGTAAAATAGAATTAACAGATAATGTGAATTTTTCCATGAACTTTTTGAAGTACCCTCATATTTAAATCCTAATTCCTGAAATATATTTGTTTTCAATTGTAGCTGTCATATATTGAGTACTTCCTGTGAGTCAGGCACTGTGCTATGCATTTCTTATACATTCATTAACAAATTTCAACAAGATAAGTCCTAGAGAAGTTAAGTAACTTACCTAAGGGCATATAGAATGTGAAAAGCATATCTGAACTCAGATTAGAATGATTAATAACCTAATTAGCTGTTAACCTCAGGGTAATAATTTCTTTATATCCTCAATCTTAGGGCATTTCCTTTTTCTTCAAAGTTCCCTTATTTATGTATAATCAATTATTTTTCAATTAAAAAAAAAGTTTTTGTATGCTAGAAGAGTCTAAACTCTGGAATGTAGTTATGGGAATATAGTCTTTTTTCTAAAACTCCTATAAGATTATAAATTTTATAATTATAAAATATTCAAAATTACTTGTTACTTTCAGAGATCACATAGTAGAGAAAGTAGATATTCTGATTCTGTTCCCAGATATTGTGATATAATACTGATATTGTGGTATAATAAATAAATGTCACGGAACGATTCATCTTATCTGCTTATTCTGTTTTTTTCACAAACTTTTTGAAATACCCTTGTATAAGGATCTATGGGATATTTCTTATTTGGGGTCAGAAATCAGGCATGCACTATAAACTTCATACAGTAGTTAGGAAACATTGAACATATTAATTGGCTATATAAGGATTTAGAAAGACATAAATAATTCAAAACAGATTAAGAAATTAAGACCAAGTAAATTATTTGCCTACATTTTTAATGTTAAAATCATTAGCAGCAGTTATTATAATAGTTGGCAGAATTGTGTGGCAAAGGAACATAAGCATGCCTAGAGAAAAGGGATGGTTAATAAAAAAGGAAAAAATGTACATTTCTGTTTTCCACCAAGACTAAGAAGTTGTTATTACATGAACATACAAAACACCGTAGATTTTGTCAGATTACAAATATGTCTAAGAATTGCATCAAGTGAATATGTGCAGGTAGAGTCTGATAGCTTTTTTTTTTTTTTTAATTGATTGTGTCCTAAACTTTTGACACTAGTTAGTTACTAACTTTTAGTCTCATTTGTACCATTAGTTTCCATTTACTTACTTGCTGGGCAACAGCATTCTTTGTTTTCTTATCCTAAATTTACCTAGTACTTGAGGTGCAGTTAGTTTTCAGGATTTGATGGATGAATTTGAGTTTTTACTTTTAATTAAGTTCAAACCTATTTTGAAAAGTAATCAGAATAGTGAAGTGTGTAGGGTCCCCTTGAACATGGGGAACTTGACTAGTTGAAGAGTTATTGATATACAGATAGGTGATCTATAGAGCTAAGATGGAGCCTGGAACTCTTCTAGAGTTCCATCTAGTTTGTCCTTTTCTTTCTGGAAGACACTGTATTTTCATCCCTGGAAACATGGTTGTCTGTACTATTTAGAATACTCCCAAGAATTCCTTTGGCATCCTGTTCTACATCTAATAACCTCACTTTTTTCCCCTGCATGTTTGTGTTTTAGCACAACTGTTATTGTGATATTTTATGTATTTTAATTTTTATGATTAGAAGTAAAAATAATCAGTTATCCTCAAGTACTTATAATTACTATTTGATTCATCTTATAAAGTATACGAGGACATATCTCTTAAGATAGAGTTACTTAATTTTTAAAAATGAGCCAGCTTCTGTTTTTATGTTTTGCAAGTATAAAACCTCTCATTTAAAAGTATTTTTCCAAGAGACTTTGCCTAATCTTTGCTCAGGTGAGTTTATTAATACGTTTATTAATTTATTATGTAAATGTATTATTTTTGTATCTATTGAAAGATTCGTGAGCATAATGACATCTTTTATATTTAAATATTGTGATGTAAAATAAAATTAAAACGTGTTATTTACTGTGACATAATCAACTACTTTTATTTTTTCCCAGGAGGATAGCAAACAAGCTCAGTTCTTAGCCTTGGCAGTTGTATACTTTATCTCTGTTCTTATGGTCTCAAAATACAGAGATATTTTGGAACCCCAAAATGAAAGGCGTAGTCAATCACTTAAGGAAACTGTCAGTGAAAGTGGGAATGTATCTCTCCCTGGTAAGTTTCCATATTTTATCTCCTGGTACCCAAAATTTAGGTAAAATCTGTTCTTATGGTCTCAAAATACAGAGATATTTTGGAACCCCAAAATGAAAGGCGTAGTCAGTCACTTAAGGAAACTGTCAGTGAAAGTGGGAATGTATCTCTCCCTGGTAAGTTTCCATATTTTATCTCCTGGTACCCAAAATTTAGGTAAAGTGTTACCTACTTATGGTAGTTAAAATATTGATTCTGGAATTTAAATACATTTATGTATAAATTTATTTTTATTACTAACTAAATATTTTAATTTAAGTATCATGTAAATTGATTGCAATTAGGAGATGATTTATGTCCTTTAAATGAGCCATCTAATAAAAGGTAAGTGAGAAAATGTTGTCCTTGACAAAAAAAGATTAAAAATTTTTAACTTACAATTTTTTTTTTTTACGGCTGGATAGTACAAGGGGTTGAACCTTGGACCCTGGTGTTATCAGCACTACGCTCCAACCAGAGGAGCTAACCAGCCCTAAAATTTTTATTTACTTCAGCATTTGCTGTTAAGAGTAACTCATATTCTCTTAGGAGAGACAGTCTTGTATAAATAACCACAATAATTGGAATTTTAAAAGACACTTCCAGTTATAGAAATGTAGTTAAATATATACAGTTATAGAAGTAGCTGCCACCTAATGGAGGCAGTTTATTTATTCAATACATGTTTATTTGATACCTGCTAGGTACTTGGGTATATATATACATGAAAAAAGAGAAGAAAAAATCTCTGCAGGAGATAGAAAATAAGTCTTTGTAATAAATGGGTTGTATAGTAGTTTAGGTGATAAAAGTTATAACAAAAGAATAAAATTAAACATGGTAAAAATATCAAGAATGGCCAGAGAGATGGGGTGTGGATTTTTCTCTAAGGGAAATGAGCAATCATTGGAGGGTTTTGAGTAAGGGTCACAACTGACTTACGTTTTAAAAAGTTAGCACTGGATTCTGTGTTGTGGATATACCCTAGAAGGCAAGGAAAACCAGTTTTTTGGCTATGTACTGCTACTACTTGAAGCTTAGTGGCTTAAAACCTTTACTATTTTAGTCTTGTTTTCATGATTCTGTGAGTTAGATTTGGCCATGAGGTACAGTGGGGTCAACTAAAGGTGAGACATATTTTCAGGGATAGAAAAAAAGACAAGAAATTCAGTTTCAGTGTGTTGTGTTTGAGATGTCTTTTAGACATATAAGAGAACATTAAGGTAGGCAGTTATATACAGTAGTCTGAGGATTGTTTTTCGTGGGGGGAGATAGTAGTATTAAAACTTTGCAAATGAATGAGATAACTAAGGCAATAAATGTAGGTAGAAAAATAAAAGGACCAAGGACTAAGCCATAAGTTCCTCCAAGAAATCAGGGAGAAAAAGAAGTGAAGGACTTTAAAAAGGAACAATCAGTGAGTTAGTAGAAGAAAAACCAAAAGAGCATGGTGTCCTTATAACCAAGTGAAGAGAGCATTATCAAGTTGGAGGGAATAATCAGCTACTGCTCTGTCACGTGCTATTAGGACTGAGAACTGACCAATGGATTTTTGGTGACCTTGATGATCATCTTTGTTGGAATGGGTTGAAAGTCTGATTGGAGGGAGTGAAAGTCAAACAGAGAAAAGGGGATGCTCCTTGTTGAACTGGGCTTTAAGGATCATTGCATTAGTCATGCATATAGGAGGGGTAACAAGTTTTCCAGCAGCAGAAACCATGTTTGAGGTAGAGGTTTTTCCTTTATCCTAAGGAGTTTGGACTTCTTATAGGCCAATGGCTTTCAAACTTGTGGTGTTACCCATTGGTATGTCATGATCAGTTTGGAGGATTTTCACAGGTATTTTATTATTTAATTATGCCATCTATTTTGATTATAGATGCATTCAGTCAGTACATCTTATAGATTATGTGATTAGTTTTTGTTTTTTAGAATATTTCATAATTTAAAATAGCAGATGACTATTAGGACTGAATGTACCTTTTAAAAATTAGTTCTAATTTTTTTACGTGTTCTTTTCTTCTGTTTCTGGGGAAGATGTAGAAGACACACCAGTAGCATTCAGCCCTTTAACTCTGGCTTCAGTGGAAGAATCTGAAAGTACATCATCTACTCGAAGAAGGGACTCGGGCATTGGGGAAGAAACAGCTACTTGTTTAGGAAGCAGTGTGGATGCAACTCCTCATACAGCACCTGCAAGTGTCAGTGCAGGCCCAGATGCAATTAGTGAGGTGCTGTGCACTCTTTCTTTAGAAGTCAATAAATCTCAGGAAACTAAAAACGATGGAGGAAATGAATTGGATAACAAGGTGACACCATCAGTTCCAGTTTCAAAAAATGTCAATGTGAAGGACATTCTCCGCAGCTTGGTTAACATACCAGCAGATGGAGTCACAATGGATCCTCCCCTTCTGCCACCACCCTGCCTGGGAGCTCTTGGTGACCTGTCTGTTGAACAACCTGTGCAGTTCAGATCTTTTGACAGGTATTGTAGAGTCTTTTTTTTTTTTTTTAATGCTTATATCTGTAAATTACAAAGACAAAGGGTAAATAGGAATTCAGTTTAACTCTGCTGAATTTTGTTCAACATTAGAAAGGAATGTTTTGATCTAGTGTATACAAAGTACAAGGATATTTTTGTTGTATGGTTTGTGCACCATTTCAAATTTTTATTTATTAACATAACAATAAGGTGATTTTTCAAAGTAATTTTAGTATTATCTTTGGCGAGTTGTATGTTAAATAATGGTTTTTCGTTCTTTTTTGTTACAACTTAGAGATCACCTATACTTAAATATGGCTATCATTTCCTCCCTTGCTGCCAATACTGTACCAGCTGTTATGAAAAAAGTGGGAATCTGTGGATTCCAACACACTTAGGAATTCAATAAGGTATTCAGAGTCCTGACAGCAGATTTCTGACTTTATTAATTCTGCTGCCCTAAAGAAACCTTTTGCTAATTTGCCTGAAAAATTATTTTATATATTATTAAATTTTCTGAAAATCTACCTATAAAACATGTTATTAAATATATTCTTTTTCTTTTTTTTTTTTGACCGGTAAGGGGATCATAACCCCTGGCTCGGTGTAGTCTGCACCACGCTCAGCCAGTGAGCGAACCGGCCATCCCTATATAGGATCCGAACTCGCGGCCTCTGCGATATCAGCGCCGCACTCTCCCGAGTGAGCCACGGGCCCAGTCCAAGATACATTCTTTTTCCTAAAACATCAGCATTTTTATCTGGAAACAAGCTTCAAAACGTTGCTAGTACAAAGAACTTTTGTTTTTTCCTGAGCCATTTGAAAGTAAGCTGCTGATACAGTGCTTCATCACCTCCTAATACTTTATTTTGTATGTTTTCCATGTAATTACAATAAGTTTGTTGAAATAAGGAAACTAACATTGATATAATCCTATCTTCTATTCAAACACCTTCCAATTTTTACTCATTGTTTCAATAATGTCCTTTATAGTGCAGGGATCCAGTTCAGAATTCTGAGTTGCATTTAGTTGTGTTTGTAATCTCCATCAATCTGGAAGACTAATTCCTCAGTCTTTCCTTGAATTTGAGGATCTTGACACATTAGATTATAGCCCAACTGTTTTTTTGAACATCCCCCAATTAAAATTTGTCCAATGTTTCCTCAGGATTAGATTCAGGTTAATGCATCTTTGGCAGGAATATCATAGAAGTGACACTGTTTCTTTTTTTTTTTTTACATCCTATCAAGTAGTACATGATTTTATCTCATTACTGATGATGTTCACTCTGATCACCTTTTAAATTGGTATTTTCTAGGTTTCTCTACTGTTAAGCTATTCCTTGTGAAGAGATTTTATAAAACTATCATTCATCCTCATTATATTAGTTTCTGTTGCTCATAACAAAATACCTGGAATTGGGTGATTTATAAAGAAAACAAAATTTATTGCTTACAGTTTCAGAGGCTGAGAAGTCCACAGTGCAGGGAACATATCTGGAGAGGGTCTTGGTGTTGGTGACAGTGGTGCAGGGTATCACATTGCAAAAAATGGTGGAGCAGAAAGATAGCTCCTCCTGCACTCTTTTTAAAGCCCTCAGAATCACGCTCATGACCACCACTTTTAATCCAATCACTATGTCATGTTCCCACAATCTAATCACTCTTCAAGCCCCTCCCCCTACCTTTCAGTTAGTATAATAGGGTTTCCCACCCTCTTAACACTGTCACAATGCAGATCAAGTTTTGGGAGGACATTAAACCCAAGGCACTCATCAAATTTTTAGTTCACTCATTCATTATATGGTCTTAGGGTTTCCTATTCTATTCAATGGGTTATACTTTGTTGTTATTATTTATGCTGATTCTCAAATTGTGTCTGATGTGGTCCCATGGGATTCCGTTCCGTTTGGCTTCTGTTTTATTTTGAAATATTCCCATTGTAATTTAACCTTTTCTTGATGAATGTTTTATTGTTATTCACATTATTGTTGGACTACGCAGTGGTATCTTTTTTAGTTATTTTATCTTTTCCCTTTATCAGGTTGTTGTTTATTTCTTTGTGTCTCCTGCTCTCTTTATTTCTTCTTATCTTCTAGTCTTGTACTTCAGACCTGCTGTGGGTTGGTACATTAGATAATGAGACTGGCTAAAATTGTTTATGGTAATTAAGAATCTCTGAAAGAACACAGGGAATATATAACTTTAGTGGAAAGTCTTTTTGCCATCATCATCTTGTCCCTCTGCTCTCTACTTAAACGTTAGGTCAGCGTCCTGGAATGATGAGATTGACAAGTCTGAATTTCATATTGTATGGCATATTGGTATATGGGGCTGCTAGATTTAAATATTCTTTTTTGTTTGTGAAAAATAGGTTTTATAATGTAGGAATTAAAACATTGACTCTAGAAATCAGACAAAACTGGGTTTGAGTTCTGACTCTGTCACTTAGTGAATTTGGACAAGTTTCCTCATTCCTAAACTGTGTAATATTATACAGTTATTAAAGAGAAAAATAGCAGAACAATATATATTGATGTGAAATGATATTGAAGATATATTAATCTTATATTAATCTTCATGCACTTAGCATGAAGAAATCACTCAATAAATGTAAACTTAGCTATTGTATCAAAGGAGATATCCAGTCACTGCTGCTTTCTGTTGTCTATGTGTGTATATAGGCACCAAATATTTGGGATACATATTATAGATAAAAGGGTTATATGTATTCTCAGTATATATTTATAATTCCAACAAATCAATAAAATCTGCTAGAAAAATGGACAAATGATACGAACAGATCGTTTATATAAGAAATTGTATTAATGTGCAAATATGTAATGATGTCTACCTCACTTATAATGGAAGAAATGCATATTAAAATAACAAGATCATTTCTCCTGATTAAATGAGCAGAGATTTAAAACTGATACTTAGTATCAATAAAGGTAAGAATAAAACATTTTCATACTGTTGTTGAGAGGGTATATTGCTAAAATTTATTAGAGGGAAAATTGGCAGTATTAATTAGAAATTAAAATATATAAACTTAATTCCACTTCTGGAAATTCATATAGAAGAAACGCACAAGTATAAAATGTTTTCTGCAAGAGGACTTTTATAGTTAAGCTAATACCTAATGAGCTTTTACTCTGTTAAGGTCTATTTTAAATGTATTATTTAAGATAGATACGTATGTACGTATGTACATCCTATTTTTATCATATATACATACTATTTTAATCCTATGTTACAGATGAAGAAACTGATATAGAGAGGAATTAAGTAAGTAGCTTACATCCTTATGCTAGCAAATGGTGGAGTTAAGATATGAACTGACTGATGTGCAATGTCATACAGCATTTCACAGCAATATTGTTTTGTAATAGTGAAAAATTGGTTTTATAGTTGCCAGCCTATGAAGGATTGATTACATGTGTTATTTTTATACATATAATAAATACTATGCTACCATTAAAGAGAGAAAGGTAGAATACTATGAATTGATATAAAATGATATTGAAAATATATTTTTAAATGAAAAAAAGCTGTGTACAAGTTTGGAATTCATGATCTGTTTTTTAAAAGATAGACATATGTTCACATATGCTTCAAAAAGTATATATCAAACTGTTAATAATGGCTGTATTTTGAGGATGGGAAGAGGTGTAAATGATCAGTTTTTAAAATATTCTCAATTTTTATAATTTGTTTAAATGTGTATTAGATTGAATACTCAGAAATATTTAAGTGAGGCTAGATTTTTAAATTTAATATATTTTATTAATATAGTCTAAGAAATTGGTTTCCTTGTAATTGACCAAAGTTGTGTATACTTTGGCTTTAAAAAAAAATAGTGTAGAAATTAAATCCATTACTTACTGATGCCTTCAGTGAGCAGATTATGAACTTATTTAGGGAATATGCTTAAATAATACATTTTAATGGATTTATTGAAATAGAGAACAAAGGATAATTTTGATGATAGTATTTTTCAGGATGTTCTGTGGAACTTAACATGTCTGGTGAATATATTAACCTATTGTCTGATGGCAAACAAACTGCTCCCCACCCCCCCTTTCTTAGCAAGAGACACCTTTTGAAAAACTGTCATGCAGCCATGGACCAGTGGAATATCTTTGGGAATTTCAAAGCATCCCTCTGATCATGTGTTTATCTCAGGAATGCTGTGTCAGAAATCACTACTCTCCTCATATCTTAAGAATTATCAACTTCCAAGCAATAGCTGGAAAGTTTAGAGTAGCAGCTACATGAGTGAAACCTTGCTGAAAGGCTGCCAGGTTGTGGTTCTTTGTGAACGGAAAGGTGTTTGTGTTCATTCCCATGCCAAAACTCTTGCTCTTATCTAATTTGACGATCCTCTCTGGTGATTAGTGGATGCCAGGGATTTATCTTGATAAAGTTCAAGGGCTGGTCTGGCTTTTCAACTGGATCCTTAGGGATTAAAGTGCTAGGCTAAAATGCTCTTTTCTCCTTTAGTGAACTATTTGCATGTTAAATATAACAGCATTGATGTGAAGGTTTGTGATATTTGAAAATGATATAATTCTGAAGTGGAACTTCTGAACCTTAGTAACCTGGAAGACATTATTGCTGTTTGCCTATAGTTACTAAGTTAGAAGAAACTTTCAAAAGATTCTCCCTAGTTCAGGAAAAAAAAAAAAGACAAAAACAAAGCACTATTTTAACTTGCGATGTGTGGGACTTTAGGAGAATTACTTCTTTCTCATCTGTAAAATGGGGTAATAATATGTAGGACTAACCTCACAGGGTGTTGTAAATAAAGATGAGATAATCCATATATGCTCTTAGCACAGTGCCTCACAAATATTAAGTGTTCATTAAAGTTCATGAGTTCATAAAGAAAAAAATTGTAATAAGTAAAATCATCTCTCTTTAATATTTGGTTTTTCATTGACAGTATGGAAAACTAGCTTTTTCATAACTGGTTATCTGTCTTGCAAATTGTTGGCAGATATTAAAAATTCAGATAATTATTTGTTTCTTAAACATTAAAAAGGATTTCAATTTGTTCCTTTAATAGAAACTTAAGCTACAGCCTGAGAAAGATGCTAGAAATATCTGTAGCACATTGTCTGGCATCTAGACTCTAAAGTTTTGTCAAATACATGTTGCATTTTCTTTGTGTTTTCCAAAGCATTTTATAAAAAGATAGTATGAAATGCTTAGTTTTTGCAGAATCACTCTTAAGTAGTGGTGGGTTTAAATTTCTAAAAGATTATTCTTTTAAACCATAGGACAGTCTTTGCTGGTTCAGATTTATACTTACATACAGCAAGCTAACCATGATAGGTTAAAGATCTCCTCTGTTGAAGATTTTAGTCTTTTACATTGAAACTTTATAGTAATAGTGAAAATGCTTGATAAAGGGAATGAAAATAACTCAAATCTGCCTTCTGCTTAATGTCCTTTCAACTGGACCATTGTGACATTGAATTTTTTTGTTTTCGTGTGGCACAAAGCTGAAGCTGTATTATGTTACTTCTTCAGAAGTGATTTGAATCAGCCAATGAATTTGGAAATTGGTTAATTTTATTTATCTTTTATGTACTAATTACATAGCTGGACTAAAGAATGCATCCGTTTCCATTAACGGGCAGATATATTTTTGTAATTCAGTGGTGGTATATACATAATTTTATGTCTTGGAGATCTTCATTACTATTGCTTAAAGATGATTATAACATAAAAGTTGGTTTAAATGTTAATGTGATTATGGTGATGGTTGCACAACTTTGTGAACATGCTAAAAACCACTTCATTGTACATTTGTGAATTATATCTCAATAAAACTTTTAAAAAAGTCACTTTGGGAAACAGTTCAAATTAGAGGCTCTGTTTTATACAAACCTAGATTTGTAGAGCAGTTCTGCCATTTACTTTGGCTGGTGGCTTTACCTTTCTGAGCTTTACTTTTTAATTTTTAAAATAGAAGTAATGTGTACCGTAGGCTTATTTTGAGAATTGAGTAGTAATTCTTGGGATATTGTCAGAGCTTAATAAATCATAGCTGCTATTAGAATTTATAATTTTATATTACATCATAGGATTTTCTGGGAGCACAACAAATAGTGCATTATGAACTTTGACTGGGGATCCTGGGAAAGCTTACCTTTGAGAAAGGTTTTGAAAGGTGAGGAGGAGGTTTGCTGGCAAGCAGGACTAAGAGGAAGGTATCATGGCACAGGAATAGTATGTACAATGAATTGGAGTTGTGAGATGATAACATTATTCTTAGAAACCATAAGAGCATCTTGCAGAAATGTGCAAGGAATGCTGGGTTAAGTTTAAATCCATGTAGGAAGCCATACTTCAGTGTATCATTCCCCAAAATATGTGAAAGATCTTGGACAATAAATATTTACTGAACCGAATAAAAGAATAGGTATTATTCATAACTGAAAGCATTATTAACAGCAATAGGCTAAAAGATTAGAAATAAAGTCTGATTCTTTATTTGTGTTTAATTAACCATGTCATCATGGACAAATAGGGATTGTGCATATTATGGAACATTTGTGGTAAATTTTTTTCTGTTACCAGTTTTTCAACATTTTATTGTGAATATGTTCAAACATAAAGAGAAGTTGAAAGAATTGTTCAGTGAACACTGCATAGACTCAAGACTGAAATTCTACAATTAGTCATTAGGTCTGTTTGCTTCATCATGTAACTCCATATATCCATCCATCAGTCTTTTTTTGGGGATGCATTTCAAAGTAAGTTGCAGACATCAGTTCATTCTATTCTTAAACACTTCAGTGTACAACTCTCTAATTAGAGATCAGTACAGTTTTTAGGGTAAAATTTACATGCAATAAAAGGCACAAATCTTAAGCATACCATTTGATGAGTTTTGAGAAATTAATATACTTGTGTAACCCCAAATCAAATCAAGATATCATCAGCCTTGAAATTTCCCCTTTCCCAGCCAAACCCTGTCCCCATCCCCCAGAGGTGATTATTATTCTGATTTTTTTCTACCATAGATTAGTTTTGCCTGTTCTGGAACTTCATGTTAAAGGAAACAAAAAGTATGTGTTTTTTAGTACATGGCTTCCTTCATTCAGCATAGTGCTTTGGAGATTCATGCATGTTATGTTTATCAGCAGTTTGTTTCCTTTTATTGCTGAGTAATATTCCATTGTGTAAGCTTACCATCATTTAAAAAAAAATAATTTTTCTGCATAGAGGACATTTGGGCTATTTCCAGTTTTTGGCTAGTGTGAATAAAGCCTCTATGAATATATTGTACACATTTTTTGTGAACATAAGTTTTCTTGGGGAAATTCCTAGGAGTGGAATTTTTGGGTCATAGTGTAGGTGTGTGTCTTAACTTTTGCTTATAGAAAAAGCAGTTTCACTTTTCTAAATATTATTTTCTATTGCTCCTGCCAGTACTTATCGTATGAGCAAACTAGATATTGCTGGTTACTTCTTTTGTAAACAAATGCGAAAGTAAATTCTATATATTTCTCTTATCCTCTCCTGAAAAAGTAAGTTATTAGAGGATAGCAATTTTCTTAAACATTGGCTTTGTAAATTTCTGCCTAGAGTAGGAAATATACGAATTCTGTATTTTGTATTGTTTTCTGAATGTATGTGTATATACACAAACAGGCACGCCCACACACAGGTCATATCTACTCCCCCTTAAGTCAGTAATCTTCAACTGATAAGCTAGCATGATTTAAACACACTGTTTTGGATTGGGGGCTCAGGTGGCTGTTGCTTCTATTTTTTAGTGTATAGTTAACATTGGCAGTCACCCTTATAATGATGTGACACTAGCTACCCCCAAGTACATTGAATAATCCATGCCTAGCACAAGAGAATTTGATTTAATTGGCAACAGTGTTTGCCCTCACATGATAGGCACTGAAGTAAAACCAAACCTATTTCTCTTTGTGTTATCTTTTTTTGAAATAACAACAAAAATTTTCGAAATATTGGAATTACATAATTTCCACTTTTGAATGCATTTATTGGGATCAAGTACCTAAGTAACTTTGTTTAGAAACTGAATACTTTAAAGCTATTAAGGGAATACTTGCAGCTTGCAGTTACAGTATTGTCAACAAAAGATGTGATTAAATAAATTGAATGTTGAAGACTTTAGGCTTATGGTTAACACCAGGTAATTAAAAGTAAGCACTGCTCTGGGAGTGCATTATATATCAGCTGTCCTCTTTACCTCATTAACTGGATTTTTGCATGTTTATGGAGCTAACTTCAATTAAAAAAATGCCTTTTAAGTTATGCCTAACAAGGTCTTTAGTTATTATTTTGGTATAAAGTATTATACTTTAATTGAAATTGTTATATCATAAATACCTGTGTTTGAATAGTATACAAGATGAGCGCTTTGATTATTTGATATTTTTGCATGTACTTTTTATACTTATGCATTGTTTTCCTATATAATATTATCAAAAGGCATAGTCTTTGGGGTTTAAAAAAGAAAAACTTGGGTTGTATACATCTTATGAAATTGTTCATCTGTATTTTCTTTTACCTTAAAGATCTCTAAGGTTTTATGATTTCAAATTAACAGTGCTTTAAAATCCTTGTAGAAACATATTGAGTTTTCTGCTTCAGTTCTGAGGTTAAGAAAAAGTTAATTACTTTTCCACTTGAGTGCTAAAATTTCTTTTTAATATACTTTTGGTTATATTTTATTTGTTAGATAATTAAAGATGATCCCCAATTTAAAAAGTACTGTGCAAAGAATATAAGTTTAAGTATTAACGTGGATTGTTATATTTCCATATGACATTGTCTTGGTTCTGAAAAAATTGCAATACAGATAAATATGAACTGCATTGAAGAGATTTCATGTTGGGAGAATATTCTAAATTGTATATCAATGTAGAGATCAGAAAGAAAATTAGAAAGAGTACTTAGCTTCCTAGTTTCTATTTTGATATTCGTGTAATTAACCAAAGTGATCTTCTGTATTTTTAAATCTATTTATTTATTTTTTATTACAGAAGTGTTGTCATCGCAACAAAAAAATCAGCAGTCCTACCTTCCACACTTACCACAAATATACCTATCAATGCAGTCAGTGTGGTTTCTTCAGTAGATTCAGCCCAAGCCCCAGATGTGGGAGGAGAATCACCAGGTGAGTTAGTTATCAGTGATTTCAGCAAAAATGTTTTTAGATCTCATTTTAGCAAACCTTAGGATTTTTTTTTTTTTTTTGTCTTTTGTCTTTTTCCGTGTCCGGCAACGGATC